ATGGCCCGAGAGCCGGCGGCGGCGACGAGGGGATTGGCTCGTGGGGTGAATCGACCCCGAATGGCCCGTGGATCGCCGATGATGGTCAGCCACGCGCAGAGGGGGGTGGGGGGAGGGGGGAGGGCTTCTTAGAAGCACCCCTGCTTCTTAGAAGGCGCGGGCCTTATCTATAGATGTAAGGCCGGCGCCTTCTAAGAAGCAGCCTCCTTCTAAGAAGCCCCCCTCTCCCCTCTACCCCCTTGTGCGCGCCGCCAAGATGGCCAGATAGCTGATCCCTCCCAGGAGCCTGCGGTTTTGTTAGCGGGGGCCTGCCTCGAAGGGGAGAAGAAAACGCCACAGGCAGAACCGTCCAGAGCTCTGCGCGAATTTCTTGGATCCGCGCTGGGCCCCCCGGCGGCGCCGCCGGTGCCGCCCCAGGCGCGCTCCGCGCGCCAAGGAAGAGGGAGATCCAGCGCAGATCCAAGGAGGAGGGGGGTCCAGCTGGCTGGTTCCCCCCCGTGAGCTGGCCTTCCTCACAGTGCCCCCTCGCCGCCCCTGCCCCCAGGTGCGTGCCTCCGCCGGGCGCTTCCGCGCCTCGGTCGGCACGGCTTTCGTCGCGGGTCGCGCGGCTTCGGTCAGGTGCGCTTCGACCATCCACGGAGACCGAAGCGTGGAAAAACACCTCGTGTTGTCGTCGTCGTCGTCGTCGTCGTGGTGCCTCCGAGGTCGTCGTGCCTCCACCGCCTCCGCCACCCTCCTCCCGCGCAGTGCCTCTGCTGCGTCGCTGCGCCCCTCTGCTCCGCTCTTGCGGCCCGGTGGCCGTCGTTTTTTCTGCCGGCAGTTCGCCCATGGGCGCGGGCCGCCCGCCCCCCGACCCCCCACAGGACTGCAGGAGGGAAAAAAACACATAGGCACAATGCATCGTCGATTCCCCAGAAAATATGGGAAGCTATGGGAAGTGGGGGGGGAGACAAAAGCCTAGAAAATATGGGAAAATGTGGGGAATCCTTCTTGATTTGTGTGTGTATTTTTTTGTGTGTCTCAGGGCCCCCCCACAGGATGGATCTTGGCTGCTCGTGGCGACTGGTCAGGACGCCCCCTCCCGACTGCCTGCTTGCGCGACGGTCAAAAAGGGGTCGACCAAGCAGCGGCCCAGGACCCAGACCCCCCTCCCTTCCCCGACCGTCGGTCACATGTCGAGACCCAGGATTGACAACAAGCGCTGGCCCGTCGGTGTTCATAGCTTCCGTGCCCCCTCCACCGCAGTCTTCCAGACCTTTCGACCTGCGCGGGAGGTGAGGAAGGTGGTGCGTGTCTTGACATGCCATTGGGTGTCTTGGAATGTCTTGAACGTCTTTGGATGTCTTTGAATGTCTTTGCTTGTGTTCGTAACCCTGGCTAATTCTGTGATGTTGTGTTGCTGATGAGTTGGTTTTGTCCATGTTGTTGGCACGTGGCGATGACGATAGTGGTAATGATGATGGTGTTGGTGATGGGGATAATGATGGTGATGATATGATGGCGATGGTAATGATGATGATAATGATGGTGATGACGATGACGATGATGTGCATAATGATGCGGATCAGACTGATGATGACGATGATAACGAAGATGTTGATGCTTACGATGATGGTGGTGATGACGAAGATGGTGCTGATGGTGCTGATGGTGATGATGGTGCTGATGGTGATGGTGATGGTGCTGATGGTGGTGACCTGATGGTGATGATGCTGATGGTGGCGAGAAGAAGGGGGACGGCAATAATAACACCGTCATGAGGCACACATCGTCTTCACTCTTGCAAAGGGCACATAGACCTCATGTGGTCTGTCTTTGGGCTGTCCTGAGCTCCTGGGGAACCGTCTTGGGGGTCCATTGGGGCCTTCTTGGGCCATCTTGGAACCCTCTCGGGGGCTTCGTGGTCGTCTGGGGCGGCGGTTAGGGGCCATCGCAGGGTTGTCTGGGGTCGTCCATGGGTCCTCCTTTGAAGTCTAGGGTCATTTTTTGGGGGTGGGCCTTTAGGGCCAGCTTCAGGCTACCTTGGATCTGCTCTGGGCTTTCCAGGGGCAGTCTCGGGCTGCCTTGAGGCCGTATTGGGAGCATCTTGGGCTATCTCGAGGCCCCTTTGGGCCGTCGCGCGGCCATTTTCGAAGCCGCTTGGGCCGCCTTGGGCCGACGGAAGCTCGAGAAAGCGAGAATCCGAAACCAACTTTCAAACATCGAGGCCCGAAACCAGCACGGCACGACCAGAAATGAGAGTTCAACACCAACAACAACAATAACAACAACAATTACTAGCACGTGGGGACACACCGTTCTCACCAGTGCCAGGGTTTTCATAGGAGGCGGGCAATACCCCCACTTTGTGGGGGGGCCGGTTCAAGCTCTACCAAATTTCCAAACGACTCTTCGCCACCACCCACACCCAGCTTCCCGCCCTATGACGTTCGGACACTTCACTTCGTGGCATGCGGACGACCGTGGCTACTATTCAGGGCCCCGCGGCCGACGACGACGGCGTGCGCGCGCGAAGAAAAAACGAATGTGTCCCGCATGGTATTATTTGACAGGGATGATGGCCCTGGCAGGTGCGCAACCGTTGTTGCAGAAGTTCGAAAAAGTTGCTCGCAAAAGCCCGTTTGACAGAAATGATTAAAAAGTGTTGGGTTTCCTACGAATCCGCAAGAGCGCGCGGGATGAAATTTTGACATTTTTTTTTTGAAAAACCATTGGTTTTTTTGATGTTTTTATGTTAAAATCGCTACGAAAACTAAGGTTTTGGAAGGATTTCGTCTTGCGCGCGCGAATGTCCACTTTACCTTATTTTTTGCAAGGGATTCTTGAAGTTTGGTTATGTTAGAACAAGAAATGTCCACTTTAGCTTATTTTTTGCAAGGGAAAACCGATCGTAACAACACAACCGGATCCGGACCAACCCGTTTTGCCTGAGACTTTCTCACGAAAATGATGAAAATGAGGCTGCGGCCTAGGCGCGGCGGGGGGGTCGCGCACCAGGGGCCCCAACAATAATTATTCTTAAGAAGAAATAATGTTCAACAACAATCCGCATCACGGAATTCCGCTTCAGCCACGCACCCAGGGACAGTGAATGACCCTTCGGTTCAGCCCCCTCATTCTGATAAGAATAGGGATATATATATATATTCTTATGCGATGCGCTCGGGGTGGTGCATTTCATGTGGTGCAACCTGTGTGGTGCAATCTGTATGTGTGCGTGTGTGCGTGTGTGTGTGTTTGTGTGTGTGTGTGTTTGTGTGTGTGCGTGTGTGGTGGGTGCAGAACACGTGATGCAAGCTGTGCGTTGCAAGCTATGTGCTACAAGCTATGTGATGCAATGTATGTGGTGTAAGCTGTGTCGCGACAGGTGTACGTTGTCTTTTATGCGGTGCAAGCTACGTGGTCTTAGCATGTGGTGCGATATCAGATGCGTGGTGCAAGCTACGTGATGTAAGCTATGCTGCAAGCCACGTTGTGCAAGCTACGAGGTGCCTGTGCGGCGCACGATCCTTCATAGCATGGCATGCGCCCACGAGGCGCCCGCGACGAACCACGGGCGGCAACTTGGCGAAACCTCGGCACAACGATCGAGCACACGAAGCACCCATGCGGCACCCGCGGGCGGCAACGTCGCAGAACTTTTGCGCGCTCACCCGGTTCGCCAACGCACTGCGTGTGCGAAGCAAGAACCACGACGTGCGAGCACTGCTTGGGAAGACGAGTGCGTGCTTGCACGATGCCGCAGCGATATATATAGAGAGAGAGAGAGATAAATAAAGAAACGAAGAGACAAAGGGAGAGAGAGAGAGAGTGAGAGAGAGAACGCGAGAAAGAGAGAGAGAGAGAGAGAGAGTGAGGGAGGGCGCAAGGGAGGCAGAGAAAGAGAGAGAGGGAGAGAGAGGGAGAGGGACAGGGAGAGCGAGAGGAGCCACAGGGAAGAGAGCGGCCTCCTGTGCCTACAGTGTGGGATGGCTGGCCACCGCGCGCGGGCGCGCGCGCCCCGACGGCAGCGCGCTCCGCATCGCGCGCGGGATCGCGCGAGACGCGCACGCGAGCGCGCGGGATCGCGCGAGCACGCGCCAGCACGCGGGCACACGGAGGAGAGGGAGGAGGAGGAGGGAGGAGGAGGAGGAGGGGGAGGAGAGGAGGAGGAGGAGGAGGAGGAGGAGGAGGAGGAGGAGGAGGAGGAGGAGGAGGAGGAGGAGGAGGAGGAGGCGTGCGGGGTTTGGTTCGTTCTTCCCGCTGCGGGTGCAGCGCTGAGCTCCCAGACACGCTCGCGTCGTTGAAAAACAATCAGGGCGGGAGGGGTTTGGGGCTGTTGTCGGCCCCAGAGGGCCCTCGCTGGGCCTCGGGGCCGTCAAAAAAGGACCCAGGACGACAAGCCGGTCCCGGGGAAAGGGTCGGGATTTCCAGGGACGCCGTCCTGAAAAAATCGGGACATCGCATGTTTGGGAGCATATCTCTTAAAAAAGCAGGTTCGTGGCCTGCAGCTGCCACGAGCGTCGGAAGGTGAAAGCAGGTCTGACTGAAGCCTTTCTGCCACATTCTTTCGGGTTTGGGTGGTGGCTTGAAGTTCAAACAGAGCTCATTCTGCGCAAGCGCAGCATTGTAACACCGTTTCTCCCCTGGGTCCCCGGGCTCAAACCCGCTTTGCACAGTAAGGGTGCAGTGGGGTTGTGCGAAGTCCCCGCGGAGCTCTCACTGGTCACGGCCAAGCTCTGTTATTGTGGTTTCTTAAAAGGGGAACGAAGAATGACATAAACATAAAAACTCGGAGGTCCGCGCGGATTTCTCGGATCGGTGCTGGACCCCCCTCCCTTGCGTGTGGAGCGCGCCAGGGGCGGCACCGAAGGCGCCGCCAGGGAGGTCCAGCGCGGCTCCGAGAAATCCGCGCGGACCTCCGAGTTTTACGTTTATGTGATTCGTGGTTCCCTTGCTCAAGTGCAGCGAACACATCATCGCCACACTCCTTGGGGTTTGGCTCGCTCTCCCCCCACGAGGTGTACTTCAATGACATTGCGCTCTTCGGCGTGCCGAGCGACGCTGGCGCATCGGCCGCCCGGAGGAGCGGGCGCGCGCGGGGGATGAGTTCGGACGAGGGCGAGGAGGAGGAGGGGGAGGGCGGAGGAGGGAGGAGTGGGTCAAAGGGGAGGACGAGCAGGAGGGGAGGAGAGGGAGGAGTATGGCGAGGAGGAGGAGGAGGGAAGGAGGAGCAGGAGGGAAGAGGGAGGAAGAGGAGTTGGAGCAGGAGGAGGAGGAGGAGGAGGAGGAGGAGGGCGATGCTAGGACGAGGATAAGTCCGTTTCAGAGCGTTCCGGAACGCTCTCAGAACGTTCTGGCACGCTCTTAGAAGGCCGCGGCGCCCGAGACATGGTCCAGAGCTTCTAGATTTCAGAGATTCTTGATTCATTCTCACCCGATTTTATCCTCGTCCTGGCTCCGTCTTCATGAGCCTGGCCTGGATCGGTATAGGTATAGAACTGGTGAAGCTTGCGCGTCGCAAGTTTAGGCAGAGTCGTTTTACCCGCTGGGTGGGCTGGAGCGCGAACCGAGCCGTTCGCGCGTCAGCTTACCCTCGGTGGCGAAGCAGAAGGCCTTCCCAGAAGGCGGCGGGACCTCTCAGCATCCCTCGCGCCCTCTGAGCAGCTTCCCTCTGTCTTCGGGGAGGGCCGAGGAGGCTGATCGAGGAGGCTGGGGGCACTTCCAAGCCTTCTGAGAAGGCCCGCCCCTTCTCACCTCCACCGCGGGGTTTGAGCCCCCTGTGTCGTCCTCGGGGCCCGCTGGCATTGACGATTGGCCTGCTGGACATGAGAAAATGCCAGGGGATCGCAAACATGGATGAAGGGAGCGTGGATCCGCGACGGGCCCCGCTTCCGTGGGAACGCGCGGACTTCCGCCGCCGAGCGAGGCCTTTCGCTCGCCGCCGAGATGCGCGCTGCTGCGAGGCCCACAGCCCACGCCTCCTCCTCCTCCTCCTCCTCCTCCTCCTCCTCCCTCCTCCTCCTCCTCCCTCCTTCCCTCCTCCCTCCTCCCTCTTCCCTCCTCCCTCCTCCCTCCTCCTCCCTCCTCCTCCACCCCGTCGCTTGCCGCCGAGCTGCACGCTGCTGCGAGGCCCACGGCCCACGCCTCTTCGGGCGCAGGCCTCGACTGGCCATGGGCGCCAGACATCCACGCAAAACGCGGTCGGGGAGCTGCTGCTCCGCGCGTCGCGCCGCCGCCTCCTGGCCCTCCGCGCCTCGTCCCTCCTCCTCCCTCCCTCCCTCCCTCCCTCCTCCCTCCCTCCCTCCTCCTCCCTCCTCCCTCCTCCTCCCTCCCTCCTCCTCCTCCTCCTCCTCCTCCCTCCTCCCTCCTCCTCCTCTCTCCCTCCTCCTCCTCCCCTCCTCCCTCCTCCTCCTCCTCCTCCTCCTCCTCCTCCTCCTCCTCCTCCTTCTCCTCCTCCTCCACCGCGCCTCGGCGCGACACGCTGACCGTGTCCCGGTCCCTATGCGTTGAATCAGGGTCCCGTTTTTTTTCCAGCCTCCCGCTCGGCGGAGCGGCGCGGCGCGCGAACTCCGCTTGCAGGGCGCGCCGCCAGGGCCCTCGCCGCCACGCTGAGCTTCAGTCGGGCATGTTTCAATCTAGTTTAAGCGCCTTCCTACTTCAAGGGTCGGCTGGTCTCCTTCTTCCCTTCTCTTCAGGGGGCGGGCAGGAGCCCAATCTACTTCCAACGCCTTCCGACTTCCTGTTTCTACCCACTTCTTCCGACCGGTGGGTGCACGAGGAACATCCCAGAAAAGTCCGAAAATAGTTAGGGGATGATTTTTCCACTATATTCGGTTGTTTTTGGATTTGCTGTGGCTATTTTTCATGTTTCTGGCAAAACTCACCGCCAGGAGGACATGCCTGACCTAACCTTGTCCTCATCTCTGTGATTAACTCCACCATGAGTGTGCCGACTTCCTGTCTGATTCGGACCGGGCAAGGACTCAGAGGAGGAAAAGGTACCCATATCTCTACCCTTCGCCCATTTTCCCCCTTCTGGGCCTCCTCGGCGGCCTTGGTCGCCACCGCTGGATTCGCTTCGAAATCTTGGCCAGAACTCACCCCGGGATATGTCCGGGGAGTAGCGGTATCGGCACCTCTGGTGTCCCCAAGGACGAGGATAGATCCGTTCCAGAGCGGTCCGGAACGCTCTCAGAGCGTTCTGGCACGCTCGAAGAGGCTGCGGCGCCCAAGACATTCTCCAGAGCCGGCGGGTCTCAGAGATTCTCAATTCATCCTCACCCCATCTTGTCGTCGTCCTGTCTTCGTTTTACGGACGGGGAGGGGGCTGGATGTGCCTGCGCCAGCGGTGCATGACTGGCGCTCCCTCCTGGCCGCGCCGCGCTCGCGCGCCGGTGGGCGTCTGCACGTTGTGGTCTGGCGCGGCCCCCGAGGAGGAAGAAGCAGGGGGGAGGGTGGCTGGGGCGAGAAGCGGGGGAGCGAAGGCTGCGCTCGGCGGCGCGACCAGGTGGAACCGTTGCGGCCTCTTGCCTGCCCGAAACGCCAGTGCGTGCCCACGTCGGGCCAAGCCTGGTTCAGCTGTTTGACTGCGTGTTCTTCAGGCCGCTATGGTAACTCTTGGGCGAACGCTTGGGCTTTCGGTTTTGAGCCCAGCCGCCCTTCTCCCACGAGAAAGTACCTCACGGGCCACCCTTCTGGTGATAAGGAGGATGGGAGAGTAATCTCATGTGTGTCTTCTAGTGGACGCACAATTCTTCATCTCGCCAATGGACAAGCACCGGCCCGTCACGACGGATTTTCATCCAAGTTCAGTTCCCAAACCTATCCGGAACACCATCGGGACAACCACCGAGACAGTCATCGGGACAATCATCGGGACAAACATTGGCACAGCCATCGGGACAACAATCGGGACAACCATCGAGGCAACTTCACCCAACGGCCGCGGCGTGGGGGTGGCCGGCGACTCATTGTGGCCTGACTCGGTCTCTACTAGGGCAGGGCAGGAACTCGCGCAGTTTCACTTCCACTCGCACGCACGTAGGTCGCGCGCGGCACGAGCCGAAATTAAATCCGTGTCTTGGTCGTGCGATTCCGTTCCACTTAGATCGCACCCCCAAACTTCCGATGCAGGAGGACAGCCGTGGGGGACGCCGCCTTGCCACGGGCGGGCAAGATCAGGAATTCGTGACGCCTGCGGTGCCTGGTATTGCGTCGTGTGTGCCCGTGGTTGCTCTGGCAGAGGGGTTGCCAGTCGTTGCTCGTCGTGCGTCCGCTGCCTTGGTCGCGCGAGCACCGACGCGCGCGCAGGTCATCTCGCAAGCGAGGGGGGGGGGGGGGCGACAGGCAACCACTCAACCGAGGCAGCCGCGGGGCAGGTGGGGCACGGCAGGCAACCACTCAACCAAAACAGACTCGGGAAGCGCGGGACGACGACGGAGACGACAGCGACGACGACGCCGCCGACGACAGGAGCCAAAGTGAAGACACTTGCGATCGTTCGCTCTGGGAGCGTCCTGAAGGCCTCCTGGGGCTTTCATGGGGCACTCTCGGGGCCCGATCTCGCTGAACTCGGAGCCACAGTTTTTTTGTGAAAGTTGTGAGTCTTGTATTTCCTTTGTTCCGGGATGGGTTGAGGCGGAGGAGTGGGCCGTGGGCCTCCGTCTTTGAGGAGGTCCAGGTTGAAGCAGAGCTGACATCAATGGAAGCAGGCTGCGTTCGGCATGATGTGTGAATTGTCCCCTCGCTTTCGATTTCCAGTCAAGGCCAGCCGACGGATGTCAAGCGACCCCTCCAGTTGTAGCCCGAGAAGGGGGGGGGGTGCTGGGATTTTCAGTGGCGAGGAATTGAAGCACCCTTTGGGTTCTGAAGACAGGTGGTCGATCTGAGCAGCAGCCGTGGTTGCCAAATTGCTAAGTTGCGAAGAATGCCAGCCAAGTCCTGATGGAAGCTGCCGAGATGCTGGAACCTGTGACGCGCAGCTCGAGGTTTCCCGCGGAAGGGGGTCCAGCGCATCTGGTTGGAGGAATCCAGGTCTGGTGCGTTAGAGATTCGCACGCGTCGAGGCACAACCTTTGTCAACTGCGCCCCGTTTAGGTTCTGACTCAGGCGGGATCGGTCATCTGGCCTTGCAAGTATGTTGCGAGAGTGTTTTGGGAGACAGCCGTGCTAAGCACCTGCACAAGTTACATGCTCCTTCATGCTCTTCGCTCTCGGGACGTGCTGTGCTTTTCCGCAGTGTCCCCGAATCCGCTACGCCGCTCCACGTCGAGAGCCAGGGAGCAAGCAGCCGGATACGGCAGGTTCGTGTCGCGTCGACGCGGCGGCGCCGCCGCCGCCGGAGTTCAAGGTTGAACCCCGGCAGTGGAGAACGGGCCAATATGGAACGATCTGGCGATCGGGAAGCCTCGATGGTTCCAGGCTGAACGACCCACGCAGTTCCAGAAATCACCGCCTGGGTCGTCGCCGCACGAGCTTGCTGTAAGCATTGTCCTTCGGAGCTCCGCGCGGAGGTTTGTGGTCGCCGACCTCCGGGCCCCCGCCGCCCCTGCCTCGCGCCCGCAGCCCGCCCGGGGATAGCGCCGGGATGCTCCGCCGCGGGCGTGGGCCCAGGCCTCCCGGGTCGGTGCAGACTGAGCGTGAATTACCTACCCCGCTTTCGTTTCCAGGCAAAACCAAGTCATGCCACGCGCCGCCTCATCAAGCGGCCTGACCAGTGCAGGCCGTGGCTTGGCATCGCTTGGCAGATCTTGGAAGCGAGGGTAGTCAAAAGCGAGGTAGGTTTGTTTGCCCCCTCGGGTCGGCGGATCCTTCCGCATCGGCGATGCGTCTCGACGTGGCTCCCGAGGCTCTTCACGCCGACGCCGCCGGCGCGCCGCCGACGCCTCGCGGGGGCCTCGCCGAGGCGTCGGCGACCTCCCGCGCGGAGCCCAGGAGAGGCCGCGCGGGCCCCCGCCGACAGAGCTCGCGCGCGGTGCAGGGCGAGCGGGCGGCGCCCCGCTGCCGAGGGGAGGCGGGGGCCGCCGCCCCCTCTCCGGGCGAGGAGCGCGATGTGGGACGAGCGCGCCAACCTGATCGTCAGCCCCGCGATGCACAAGCGGCGCTGGGGCGAGGAGGTTGAGGACGGCGGCGACGGCGAGGCCGGGCGCCCGCGCCCTCGGGGGCAGGAGCAGGGCGCACGCCGAGGCCGCGCTCCCCCGCCCTCGTCGCCGCGGCCCGGAGCCGCCTCGGAGGCCCAAGAGTCAGGACGCAGCCACCGGTTCCTCTGGTGCTGTCCCCCCACGTCTGGGGCCATCGGCGGGGCCGGCACAGCGCCAGGGGGGCAGGGTCACCCAACGGGCGCCCCAGAGGAGGGGGAGGAGGAGGAGGAGGAGGAGGAGGAGGAGGAGGAGGAGGAGGAGGAGGAGGAGGAGGAGAAGGAGGAGAGGGAATAGGAAGAAGAGGAGGAGAAGGAGGTAGAGGAGGATGAGGAGGAGGATGAGGACCCAGACCCCAAACGTCCTGCAAAGACCATCGAGGCGGAGGCTTTTCGCTGCTTTCGGCTTCGGGGGCGCAGCGATTCTGGGCCCAGGGATCGACAAACCATCACCTCTGCGAAAAATAGCCGTTCCCTTTGCAAGAGGCCGAGAGGCCAAGGGACACCGCAATGAAGAGCGTTGGACGTCCTAAGTCCGTCATCGCCCTCCTTGCATACTTCATTGTTGCTGTCCCAGCACAGGCGGTATGGCCGCAGCGGCAATGCACGAACAAGAGAGCAGCAGCGAAGAGCACCCCGAAACTGCACAGAGAAATGGGAATTCGAAGATCATCCTGCCTAGGGCTGCGCGCGCGAGGGGTCGTCGCCCGGGGGGCGGCAGTGTAAGAAGGGCCGGGCTCCAGAGAGAGGGCAGGGCCCTTCGCACAGTAGCCCGGATGTGTCTAAGAAGGCCTCCCAGAAGCCAGAAGGGCTTCCAAGAATCCCCCTCCCTCCCTCTCGCACGGCACGAGAACCGCCTCAATGCCTGATCCGACCGTCTTCCCTCTCTCCCTCGCTCCCACTGTATTCTTCGAGTCGAAGACGAAAACACGCCATAAACATAATCGTTTGGCGTTCCGCGCGGATTTCTTGTACCCGCGCCTGGCCCCCACCCCGCGTCGCCTCCGGCGCCACCCCTGACGCGCTCCGCGCGCCAGCGAGGGGGGTCCAGCGCGTATCCAAGAAACTGGCGCGGACTGTCGGAAAGTTTATGTTTATGCAGTTGGTTATTTTTCTATCGAAGCTCCCCGCCTTCAACCCTTCAGTCGGGCCTGTCCCTCTACAGGAGGATACTCAAAAGTAATGAAAATTGATCTGGGGACGATTTACTTCTATGTCTTATTATTTTGATGGCATGTGTTGACTAGCTCTCATTTGTCGTCCAACATCCGCCTGTTAGGGGGACATGCCCGACCTAAGCCAGCCACTTGTGCGCGCCGCCAGCCATGAGCGTTCCGAGTCCGGAGAGGATGCTTCTACACAGCCGTGGACCTCGCCTCGCAGCTCTGCCTCGGCCTCGCCAATGGGGTCCGAGCAGACGGGGTCGGAGGATCGCGCGCATCGCCGATGCATCGGCGACGCGGCTCGAAGCGCTGTACTTGGTGCGGATGCCAGAGGCGGGGGTGGGAGGACGGGGAGGGGGAGGCAGCGGGAGGAGGAACTCGGGGCGCTGTCTCTTCGAAACGAGGACCCGCCGCTGCAGGAGGGTTGGGAAAACAGGGGGTTCCCTCAAAGCCGTTCTTTTTCGCGGTCGACCCCCCCCCACTCATCCGTTCCCTCATGTCCCAGGGTTTGGCGGGCCCCAGAGTGCCTTTCCCTTTTCTCAATCCTTCGCTGGCCGTTTTCCTTTACCTATCTTTCCTGCTCTTGGTTCTTCTTTGTCTCCCGTTCCACATCCTTCTTCCTCTCCGCCTCCTTCTTCCCTCCCTGCTGCGACATCTTCCCTCCTCCCTCCTCCCCATTTCTCCTTCACGCCTTCCTCTGTCCACCTCGCTCATGTTGTTTCAGATTTCCACCACTCCAAGACGGCCCAAGAGGTCCCCAAGACAGCACCAAGACAGCCCAAGAGGCCCCCGCGGCGCCCCCCAAAAGTCCCAAGTGGTCACCAGGAGACCCCCAACAACGCCCCGTAGAGGCCCCACCCCTCAGAAACCCCCACGAGCCTTCCAAGAATGCCCCCCCCCCCAACGGCGTCCAAAGAGACTGCCAGCATGGTTTTGCCAGTCTCATAGGGGCTCTCGGCCATCCCCCCTTAGGCTGCCCTGGGTTCTCCTCGTGGCTGCCATTTGCGACTTCCTGATGCCTTATTCAGCGATTCCGAGAGCTTCCAGCAGGAAGTACGCTCCCAGATGGTGATCCTTGCGGGATGATGTCCACCAGCATTCGATCTTGTGAGGTTGGCTTGGGCTGCGCCAGATGCTAAACGCACGCGAAGCGCGTGTGGTTCTGCTAGACACAAATATGTATGTGTATAGATGTGTGTGAAGCAGCGGCAGGACGCAGCGAACGGAGCCGATTCAGGCGCTGCGGAACACAAGACCCAGGTGGGCGCAGAAGGAAACAAGAACGGCAAAGTGCGAACGGGGAGTCGTGCAAAGACCCGCTGGTGCATGGAGCCTGCGCCCTACCTGGTCCGGGAGGGGGTGATGGAGGTGATGACGATCCACAGATGAGTACACGCTGGTCGTTGATAGTAGGTTTTTATTAATTTCCAGATCCCAGGTCTACTACAAGCGCCTTCCTACTTCAATAATCGAAAGGCTTTTGTTGTGTTGTGTTATTCTCTGGGAGGGCCTGAACCCGATCTGCTTTGTCCGCCTTCCTACTTCATGCTTTCGCCTGACGTGCAGATGCGCAGGATGTCGTGGACGCTGTCCCCGAGCCCGAGCCCCGAGAATGAGACCGAGCTCGAGCCCGAGCTCGACCCGGGCTCGAGCCCGAGCCCGAGCCCGAGCCCGAGCCCTCCTCCTCCTCCTCCTCCTCCTCCTCCTCCTCCTCATCCCCCTCCACCTCCTCCTCCTCCTCATCCCCCTCCTCCGCGCCCTCCCCCCCCCACCGCGCCCAGGACGCCGCGCCCGCCCGCGTCGCCGCGCCCCGGCTTGAGGGCCCTGCGCACGGAGAGGCGGCGGCGGCTCGGGCCCGCGCTTTGGTCGAGGGGTCCGCGGATGACTCGTGTGCGCTATGCGCTGGCGTCTCGCGACCCAGAGATCCGAAGCTCCGACCAGCATTTGAGGGGCCGCTCTCGGAACGTGTTCGGCCTCCGGCTGCTCCCAGCGGGCCCTGGAGCCCTCAAAGAACGACCCAGGATGGAGAGCCAGTTCCCGGGAAGTTGTCCAGACCTCGTGGTGTCCGCACGACGGAAAAGTTGGAGCGCGGATGTCTGGGGAGGCGGCTTCGATCCTCGACCCAGGAATGGTTCGGTGCATAATGTGTAGGCCTTCGGAGCCGAACAGCTATGCACCGTGCCGGGTTGCAGCGGGGCCTGAGTGGAGTCGGAGCATTGTGCGTTGCACGGACGCCGTCAACGTAGTCGCGTTTTGGATCGAGGCGGCCTCGACCCGATGGGTAGAGTCGGGGATGGTTGGGGGGAGGGAGGGTTACGATTCAACCAGTAGTGAAGAGTCCTGACCTGCAGAATCATGGACCCGCCAGGGAACGTTCTGATAACCCAATGTGTTTTGCACGGCATGTACTCAGGACATGTCTGGCAGAGACTGCTTTGTATTAGCGCATCGGTTTTATGCTTCAGGAGCATTGAATGTACTTCTCGAACATTCGCTTCGCCTGAGAGCACTTCAAGGCATACCTGTAGGAATGTCGTCGCGGGGGGATCTGTTTTGATATGGCATCGATCCTCTGGCGCGTAACGGTGGTCACCCGTGCCAGCCCCCCTCCCCCATGGTATAATTTTTCGGAGGTGGATAGGCCTCCTACCCTGACACGTCGACTAGCGCATTGGCCGTTTTCGGTTCGCGAGAGGGCGTCGCGGCCTTCGTTTTTGCGGGTCCAGGTCCGTCGGTTTCCGTCCCAGGCCGTTTTCACTAAGGGGAGGTTTTTTAAAGGGAGGTTTGTCCACCGCCGAATTGGTAACGGTTGCGACCGTATTCTAGCTAGTGCTCGCGCGCACACTCGAGGAGTCGCAGCGCTCCCCCGCCGCTCCGACGCGCCCCGCCTCGCCCCAGCGTTACCGCTGCCTGGCCCCCCCCCCCCCCGTTGGAACGACCGCTAGTGGACATACAGCGGACGTCTCGGAGGAGGGCTACGACCCCGCCGCCCCTCGCCCCTCCAGGCTCGCAGGTGGGGAACTTTTGCCTGGCGTCTCGCGCACTGGACATCTATAACAGCTGTCTCGGAGGAGGGCCACCACCCCGCCGCCCCCCGCCCCTCCAGGCTCGCAGGTGGGGAACTTTTGCCTGGCGTGTCGCGCTGCCCGTTCCCCGCCACAAAAGCACATAGACACAGGCACCCTCCACTGGATTTTTCCTGGGCCTCAGTGGAGGGCGGCGGTGTATACATTTCCACGGCGAATCCGGCGACGAATTCCAAACCGGCGCCCTCGCGTGGACATCCTCAGATACCCTTCTTCCGTTTCAGGCGAGATCCGGGACATTTGGCGAATCCAGTGGATCCAGCATTGAGAGCCAGCGTCTTCACACACCGCCACCCTCCCAGAAGGTACACGCAACATCCGTCGGATGGTGTCTCTGTGTATATATATATATATATATATATATATATATATATATCTCACAAGTGAAAAACTCCAATCAGTGGATGGTTTTCGCTGAGGAGATCGACCTGGAACCCGGGAGCCCGGGAACCCAGAACCCACCGAAGTCGGCCCAGAACCAATCACCGGGAACATAGGAACCCGGAACCGGGAGCCCGGGAACCCAGTTTGCTACCAAAATCGGCGGGAAATGTTCGCCAAATCTTTCAATTTCCGCTAGGACCCCCTCAGTGCAAGCTCTGATTGGGGAACATATATATATATATATATATATATATATATATTGTCCGTGGCGTACGTTCTGTCCTTCTGCAATTCGGGCGCGAGACACACCCAGCCCGGCACGTCCGAGCCCCTCGGCGCCAGCGTCCCAGGGGGGGGGGACTGGCACAGGGGGGGATGCATCGACCCCCAATCACCCACTGATCGCCGACAGGGGTCCGATGGCCCCAGCCTGCCCAGGAACGTGCGGATTCACTATCGGGGGCCTATCGCCGATTCCAGGTCGACGTTGCTCCCCCTATGCCTATCCCCCCGTATCGTTGCCCCTCAGCGTCTCGAGCCTCTCGAAGCCAGCCGTTCCGCGGCTCGCAGGGCATGCGCAGCGCGTCGCCGGGGCCGCCGCCGACAGACGGTGAGCACAAATTCCTGACCGTGAGGTCTGCGGATGTCTTTGGCCCCTGTCGGGCTTCTCGGGCCGCCCCTTCGGTAGCAAATCATGGGAGCCTGGTATGCCCTCGTAAGTCTGTCGTTGGCGTCGATGTAGCGTCGATGAACGTCGGGGGGTCGACGAGACAGTGCCGAGGTAGCGTCGGTCAGCGTCGATCAGCGTCGGTTTGGCGCCGACTGGCGTCGATTCGCAGGAGCCGACAAGATGGTGCGCGAGGCTCCCGTGAGCTGCCACCGAAGGGCCGCACGGTCAGTGGACGTCTCCGGCCCCTCGGGGGCTCCGCGAGGGCGCCCCCCCGCGGCCACCGGCCGGAGCCGCGGTTGGCGCTCTTTGGTCAGAGCGCGTGCCCCTGGACGGGCACTGCGAGGGCTGGGGGAAGGAGGGTCGAGGCTGGGCGATCGGAGATCCAGGATCGCGGGCCCAGGCTCGAGGGCCGAGGGCGGCGGCGACGAGGGCGGGGATCGAGGAGTGGCGACGGACCGAGGACGGCGGAGGCGGATCGAGGATCGGCGTCGGAGGATCGAGGGGATTCGTGGATCGAGAATCGAGGCTCGACAATCGAGAAGCGTCGAGGATCGAGGCTCGAGGATCGAGGATCGAGGTGTTCAGGCGTGTCCGGGGACTTCCAGAGGCCCAGGCCCCTTACGCTCACGGCGCCGCAGGAGTCTTATTCCGCGTATTTCCGCCCACTCGCCCCGCGGTTCGCCTCGCTTGTGGCGCGTCGACCTCTGGCGCCTGGTGCGACAAGGTTCAATTAATACTCTTCCCGGTGGTTTGCCTCTGGCTTGCCCGCACGCTGGCAGCCTGGCTTTCCTGGCAGCTTTCGCAGCCTGCCTTCAGCCCCCGGCGCCCCTCAGCCTCCCTCGGCGGCAGCTTCGGCAGTCGTGCGCTGGGTAATTAGGCTCCGCCCGTAGCCCTGGTCGACCTTTGACGCCGCCTGCACCTTCGCTTGCGGCTGCGACCAAAAAGTATTTCCGCCCACCCAGAGCAGATGCTACGGCGAGTTACCTTGGTCAGAGAGGTGTATGGGCAAGCTGTGGAACAGAGAGGGCGGGACAGCCGTCAAACCGAAACTGGGGATCAGCCGGAGCCTGCCCAGGCGCCAACCATAAGTGCATTCTCTGATATGTCCCTTGGCTTTCGGAATCGGAGGATGACGATCGAACTAATTAACCGACAGGCCAAGAAAATATCGGACCATCTGGGAGGACATCTGTCATAGACAAGGGTCATAAATTAGGGTTGCCCCTCTTGAGGCCGAATTGAAGCCTTCTGGGGCCCCTCTTGGGACTCTCATGGGCCATATAGAAGTTATTCTGAGGGTTCAGAAGCCCACTCGAAGCTTAGATGCACCAAGGCAACAATCACGAATGTTCCCTCGAGGTTTGCAAGACGTTGGTCCTTTAGTGGGCATCCTTGGGAGGCTGCGTGGCCATTCGGAGCTTTCTTGGAGCGGTCTTGGGGCCTCGTGGAGGCACCTTGGACATCATTTGAAGGCTACCTTGGGCCATCTTGGACGCTCTGACCTCTCGCGTGGGGGGTGGGAAATGAATAAACCTGAGAATGGGGAGATTGAAACTACATCGGCCTGTTCACTACCTTTTTTCCCAGGGGTTGCAACCACCCGGAAAGGGTCTCTCTGCAACCTGGTTGAATTTATTGGTGTCGTGACCCTTCAGATCGCTGAAGGACGTTCTTCGGAGCGGTCCCTTGATAGCCTTTTGGCGGCCCCTTGAGGGCCTCTAGTCGGCCTCTTGAGGGTCTCTGAGCTGCCTCCTGAGAGCCACTGACCGGCCTCTCTGAACGCTTCTGAGCGGCCCCTCGAGAGCCTCTTGAGAATATTCGAGCGGCTTCTCCAGAGCCTCCCCGCGGTTTTTTGAGAGCTTCATAGCGGACTTTCAAGAGCGCCTGAACGTCTGAGAAGTTACTTCGAGAGCTTTGAGAGGATCAGGAGAGGCCCGAGAAAGGCTTATGAGAGGGATTTCAGAGGCTTCTCATGCTTGCCGCGATGCCGTGTCAAGTTCCATGAGATCGGCGCGGCACTGTGACCAAATTTGACGTGGTGCATTTGTCGGAATGTGTGTTCCACTTCATGTATGATTGCTTTCTCAGCGCGCAGATGATACAAAGAGTGCTCAGGGAAACGGCTCACCTGGGTGGTCGACAAGTGATTTTCGGTATCGGGTAAGTCAACTCATCTGCAATTGAGTGAAGAATTTTCTGGAGTCGGGTCGGTGACAAGCTTTGAGCCGCTTTGCCCCCGCCCCACGCAATGTTTGGTTTTGTAGTGAGACCGTGCATCGGAACATCTAGTTCAGGCTCCAGCACGTCATCAGTGTGCAGAGGGTGTCGTGAGCTGCTTACTCTGTCGATCCGGCGGCCCATTTTCGCAGGGCGATCCGGCGCTGCAGATGTCGTACTGGCAGTTGTTGGCGCCCACGGCGTCGCACTGGCCCGCAGGCGAGCACACACATTGGTTTAGGCTGGTTTGCCGCGGCAGGGCCCGAGGGCCCGTGTCAGCGCTCGACGCGAGGAGCTCTATTTCCGCGCTCGTGCCCACTGTCTGTGCTTGAGGGGCTGTTCCCACGTGGCGAGAAGTCTGTAAGGAGGTTTGTACCTTTGCAGCCTACACCAGCTCAAGCAGCTTTCTCTCCGTGCTGATCCCTGCCAGAGGAGAAGGAGGAGGTGGAGGATGCGGGTGAGGATGAGGAGGAGGAGGAGGAGGACCAGGAGGAGGAGGAGGAGGAGGAGGACCAGGAGGAGGAGGAGGAATTTTGTCAGGCTCCGTATCGCTCCTGGGTCAGGGTCCTCGGAGGTGCCGAGCAGGTGGGCCTCGCTGGCCGTTGCTTCCACGGAGGGGCAGGTGTGTGAGGGGGCCCCTGGGCCTGTTGGAAGCACCCTGCCACGGCCCGGCCACTCTGCTGCCTGCCAAGGCCAGGCCACGGAGGTGAACGTACACAGCGTTGCCTCTTCAGCACATGGACGTGTGTCTCGCCCCGAGAGGGCTTCGGGGGACTGCGCATGTTACTGCTCTAGTGGGTTTTACTCGTCGGTTCACCTGTGGACGTTTTCGAGGATGTCCGGCTCAATGTGGTGTGCCTCAGAATCGCATCGTCAAGGTGAGTGCCGCAGGCACGATGTTTTCATCAAAACGGCGAACCGCTAGACCACCAGGCTCTGAACGTCGCGCACGCGGAGCCGCAGGTCCACCAGACGGATTACGTTGAGGGAGACCACCAGCGAACTCGAGGTCAACGGCGACGGCACGATCCGACGCCATCTGGGGTGACCATCAGTGGGCTGAAAAACGACGGCGATGGCATGACGGAGCTGGAATGGTACGGCTTGATGGTTGGTGCCGCTTCTGGACAACGAGTTCCAACCTCTCCCGCCCCCCCCCCGCTTGGGGTGCGCCCATCGCCCACTTCCAGGGGGCGCGCCGCTTCGGAACGGGTTGGGCCATCTCTCCCGCCCCCTCCCCGAAGCCTTTCTTCAGACCTCCCAGGGCGCGCCCACTCTCCACCCTGGGGCGCGCCCATCCCACCCTGCAGTGGCCGGGAACTGGCCGGCATCAAATGATCAGCGCCAGCGGACAGCCGCGATCGCTCAAGGTTGTTTGAACGATCCGCGCGGTGTTAAGAAGCGAACGCCGACGTCATCGCAGTGCCAGTCTACCGCGTGTACGTGCTGTACCGCTCTGCGCCAGGAGGCCGCGCCCTTGTGCAGCCGCACCCATCCAGGGCGGCGGCCGCCCCTTCCGCCGCCCCGCCCACTTGCCGACTGGCACACTGTCTGGGCAAACCTGGCCGTAGCTGCGCCCTTGCCCCGTGGCTTCCTCCTCCTCATCCTCCTCCTGCTCCTCCTCCTCCTCCTCCTCCTCCTCCTCGTCCTGCTCCTCCTCCTCCTCCTCATCCTCCTGCTCCTCCTCCTCCTCCTGCTCCTCCTCCTCCTCCTCCCCCTCCTCGTTCTCCTCCTCCTCCTCGTCGTCCTCCTCCCCCCCTTCCCCAGCGCGAGCTCGGCCGCTCGCAGGTGCTTGCGAGGCGGCGCGCCGCAGTCCGTGCGCTGCTCACCCGCTCATGGGCCTCGCAGACACATCGGAAGCGGGCGTTCCCCAGCGCGAGCTCGGCTTGTGCCCATATCGTCCGTTGGCGGCGCGCAGAGGGGGGTAGGGGGAGGGGGGAAGGCTTCTAAGAAGGAGGCTGCTTCTTAGAAGGCGCCGCCCTTGCATTTGTAGACAAGGCCCGCGCCTTCTAAGAAGCAGGGTGCTTCTAAGAAGCCTTCCCCCCTCCCCATACCCCCCTGTGCGCACCGCCAAGTCCGCGAAATTACATGCCTGGCGGACGAGCCTGCGGAACTGCAACACAGCCTGGCCGTGGTTGGGCCCAGACGGATACCGCAGCACAGGTCGTTCGTTCGTTGCCGCCCGCGGAGGAGGAGGAGGAGGAGGAGGAGGAGGAGGAGGAGGAGGAGGAGGAGGAGAGAAGGAGGAGGAGGAGGAGGAGGAGGAGGAGGAGATGGAGGAGGAGGAGGAGAGGAGGAGGAGAGGAGGAGGAGGAGGAGAGGAGGAGGGAGGAGGAGGGAGGAGGAGGAGGAGGAGATGGAGGAGGAGGAGATGGAGGAGGAGGAGGAGGAGCACCCCGGCCGCGCCCCTCCAGGGCGCCGGCCGTCCCGGCGCCGCTGGCCCCGCCGCCCCGGCCGCTGCCGGAGGTCCACCGCTGCGCGGCCGCCGCCACCGCCGACGTTGCCGCCGCCGCCGCCGCCGTCGCGTCCGTCGTCGCCGCCGCCGTCGCCGTCGTCGTCGCTGCCGTCGTCGGCGTCGTTGCCGTCAGCCTCGCGCTCGTCGGCGTCGTTGCGACGACGCCGCCGTCATTCGTCGTCGTCGTCGTTGTTGGTGTTGTTGTTGTTGGTGTTGTTGTTGGTGTTGGTGTTGGTGTTGTTGTTGTTGTGGCCGCTGCTGCTGTTGTCCTTGTTGTTGTTGTTGGTGTTGTTGGTGGTGTTGTTGTGGTTGTTGTGGTTGTTGTTGCTGTGGTGCTTTGTGTTGTTGTTTGTGTTGGTGTTTGTGTTGTTGTTGTTGTTGCTGTTGCTGTTGCTGTTGCTGCTGTTGTTGTTGTTGGTGTTGTTGTTGAACATTATTTATTATAAAGAATAATTATTGTTGGGCCCCCTGGTGCGCGCCCCCCCTGCGCCGCCTAGGCCGCAGCTACATTTTCATCATTTTCGTGAGGAAGCCTCAGAAAAGAGGGTGTGTACAGGATCCGGTTGTTTTGTTGTAATCCGCTTTCCCTTGCAAAAAACAATAGAAAATGACATTTCTTGTTCTAATATAATCAAATTTCAAGAATCCCTTGCAAAAAATAAGGTAAAGTGGACATTCGCGCGCGCAAGACGAAATCCTTCCAAAACCTTAGTGTTCGCAGCGATTTTAACATAAAAACATCAAAAAACCAATGGTTTTTCAACAAAAAATTGTCAAAATCTCATCCCGCGCGCTCTTGCGGATTCGTAGGAAACCCAACACTTTTTAAACATTTCTGTCAAACGGGCTTTTGCGAGCAACTTTTTCGAACTTCTGCGACAACGGTTGCGCACCTGCCAGGGCCATCATCGGGACAGTCATCGGGACAACGATCGGGACAAGCACAACCATCAGGACAACCATCGGGACAATCATCGGGACAACGATCGGGACAACCACAACCATCAGGACAACCATCGGGACAACCATCGAGACAACCATCGGGACAACCATATCCTCTCTCTCTTGTGTATTCCCACATCCCTCAGGAATTTGCCCTAAAGATGTGATCAACTATCTTGTGAGTACGTATCATGTGTATCATGTGTATCATGTACCATATGCATCATATGCAACAGATGTTCTGTGGAAGGCTTAACAACTTCTGTGGGTTAACAAGGCTTAACAACTTCTGTGGGTGTACGAACGTAGGCTTAACAACTTCTGTGGGTGTGTACTCCACGCCAGTGTAGTAGCCACGGTCGTCCGCAGGCCACGAAGTGAAGTGTCCGAACGTCATAGGGCGGGAAGCTGGGTGTGGGTGGTGGCGAAGAGTCGTGTGGATATTTGGTAGAGCTTGCACTGCCCCCCCACAAAGTGGGGGTATTGGCTGGCGTCGCATGAAAACCCTGGCACTGGTGAGAACTCTGAGCGTTCGGGTAAAGTGATTGTTGTTGTTGTTGTTGTTGTTGTTATTGTTGTTGTGTTTGTTGTTGTTGTTGGTGTGTCTGTTGTTGTTGCTGTTGTTAAGGTTGCGGTTGTTGATTATGTTGTTATTGCTGTGGAATGTGAATAACGAACCAATTATTATTGTTGGACCCGCCCCAGGCGCTTTGGCGCTCTCGCCTCGGCGCTGGCTACATTATCATTGACAATGAGGCTCACGCTCGAGCGGTGTGGGGGGGTGCCAAAACCAGCCCCCCAACAGCAACAACGCTCCCGCTCGAGACTTCCTTATTTCTTCAACTCAGGGGCGGTGCTCTTGCTCGCCGCCGAAAGCCGCCGTCCCAACAAAACCAGCGCTACCGCTCAAGACTTCCTCCCGTTTTACCTTGGACTGGCGCGCTACTCTTTCTCTCATCGGCGCCGCCCCCAGCAACAGCAACGCTCCCGCTCGAGACTTCCTCCCTTTTGAGCACAAGGCGGTGCTCCTCCTCGCCGCCGAAAGCCGCCGTCCCGACAAAGCAAGCGCTCCCGCCCGAGACTTCCTCCCGTTTTACGCAAGACTGGCACCCTACTCTCTTTTGAATTGGCACCGCTCCCAGCAAGAACAACGCTCCCGCTCGAGGCTTCATCCTTTTTCCTCAGGACGGTGCTGTTCCTCGCCGCCGACAGCCCCCGTCCCGACAAAACCACAGCTCCCGCTCGAGACTTCTTCCCTTCTTACTCAAGGCGGCGTTCCTCCTCGCCGCTGACAGCCGCCGTCCCAACCAAACCAGCGCTCCCTCTCGAGACGTCGTTTTGTTGTACGCTGGACTAGCGCCCTACTCTCTTCAGCATTGGCGCCGCTGCCAGCAACAGCAGCGGTCCTGCTCGAGACTTCCTCCCTTACTGTTCAGGGCCAGATCCTTGCCTCGCCGCCGACAGCCCCCATCCCCACCAAGGCAATCCTGCCGCTCGATACTTCCTTGTGCTTTACCCTTAGCTGGGGCTCCACTGGCGGTCTCGCATCGGCGCAGCAAGGCGCAGGAATGCGTTTTCGAGGCGGGATCTGTTGAAATTCCTCGGAGGAGGTGTTTGCAAGACCTCATTGAGCGGGAGAGCTGGGAATGGGAATAACGGACTCCGCTATAGAACAATACCCCCCATGATGGGGGTGGTTATCATGATGGTCGTATGTTTCGTGTGGAAACATCGCGCATGAGGGGGTACATTGATTGGTGTTGTTGTGTTTGTTGCTGTTGTTGTTGTTGGTGGTGTTGGTGTTGGTGTTGGTGATGTTGTTGTTGGTGGTGTTGGTGTTCTTCTTGGTGTTGTTGTTGGTGTTGTTATTGCTGGTGTTATTGTTGTTGTTGGTGTTGGTGTTGCTGTTGCTGTTGCTGCTGTTGTTGTTGTTGTTGTTGTTGCCGTTGCCGTTGCCGTTGTTTTTGTTGTTGTTGTTGTGGTCGTTGTTGTTGTTGTTGTTGTTGCTGCTGCTGTTGTTGAACACTATTACTTCTAAAGAATTATTATTGTTGGACCCCCTGGTGCACGCCCCCCGCCCAAAACCTAGGCCGCAGCTACATTTTCATCATTTTCTGCGAAAGCTTTAGAAAAGTGGATTACCCCCGGATCCGGTTTTTTGTTGACGCTCGTTTTCCCTTGCAAAAAACAATAGAAAATGAAAATTCTTGTTCTTAGTTGATCAAATTTCAAGAATCCCTTGCAAAAAATAAGGTAAAGTGGACATTCGCGCTCGCAAGACGAAATCCTTCCAAAACCTTAGGTTTCGTAACGATTTTAACATAAAAACATCAAAAACCCAATGGTTGTTTTAAGAAAAAATTGTCAAAATGTCCTTCCGCGCGCTCTTGCGGATTCATAGGAAACACACCACTTTTTAAACATTTCTGTCAAAAGGGTCTTTGCGTGCTACTTCTTCAGGTGCTTTGAACTTCTCCAACAACGGTTGCGCGCCTGCGAGGGCCACCATCCCTTGCAAAAAATGAGACGAAGTGCACATGCGCGCGGCCGCCGCGCGCGCATGTCGAAATCCTGCCAAACACAATGGGCTTTCAATAATTTCAAGATGCGATGTTCAGAACGTGCTCGCGGTAGCACTGCCGTATGCAAGCACCGGCCTTCCCGCCAGCAGGCGTATCGGCAATCTCATTGGGCATCTGGGACCGCACGGGTATCAGCCAGGCCCGCACGTGTATCAGCCAGGCAGCCGGGCACCCACGCGCCCGCTCCGCGCCATCGCAGACGACGATGCGTCGCGCCTTTAGTATGCTTCTGGATGCGAAGACCATTCGGTTGAGTATACCCCTACGTGTGACTGGACCTGTTTGCGAAAGCAGGAGAAAGTATGGCACCCCTTTGTGTCCAGAGCCGCGCCGTCTGCGTTCTTCCTTTCTCGCTTCTCTCCTTTCCTCCTTGTCCTGCTCCTCCTCCCCCTCTTCCGCCTTGGAGCCGTATTGGAACTGTCGATGGCCATCTCCCTTTCTCCCTCGCATGTCTGCTTGTACATACGTATAATTTCAGAACTTACCGTGCATGCGATCGTTTACAACATGGTGGACCGTGCGTATGTCACGAACCTTGTATACATGTGTTTCTCTCCCTCCGTCTGGCTGTGCACGCGCGCGTTGGGCACTGAGAGTTAGGATCATAGCGCCATGAGTCTATGAGCAATGCATGCGTCATCCTTGGGACTGTATAACATCAGTGTAACACATGTACTTCTGTAATCGCATCCCCACGAATTTGCCCCAAAAATGTGACCAACTATCTTGGCACTGCGTACCATCTCACGTGTACCGTGTACCACATCATATGTAACAGATGTGATCAACCTCTGTGGGTGTGTACCCCACGCCAGTGTAGTAGCCAGGGTCGTCCGCACGCCACGAAGTGAAGTGTCCCAACGTCATAGGGCGGGAAGCTGGGTGTGGGTGGTCTCGAAGAGTCGTTTGGATATTTGGTAGAGCTTGAACGGCCCCCCCACGAAGTGGGGGTATTGGCTGGTGTCGCAAGAAAACCCTGGCACTGGGGAGAACACTGAGCGTTCGGGTAAAATGATTGTTGTTGTTGTTGTTGTTGTTGTTGCTGTTGCTGTTGTTGTTGTTGTTGCTGTTGCTGTTGTTGTTGTTGTTGTTGTTGTTGTTGTTGTTGTTGTTGTTGTTGTTGTTGTTGTTGTTGTGGTGGTTTTTGTTTTTGTTTTTGTTGTTGTTTCTCGGGTCGTCTGGGTTGTTCGTCGTGGTCTGTCGTCGTCGGCCTTTTCAGGTGGACGACGTCGACGAGGGCGAGGTTGACAAGGACGACAACGATCCTCCCTCCCTCGTCGTCGCCGCTGTCGTCGCAGTCGTCGCTGTTGCTGCCGTCGTTGTCGCTGTCGTCGCAGTCGTCGCCGTCACCGTGGCGAAAGGCGGCCGCTGGATGGCGGTCGTCGTCGCCGTCGTCATCGTCCTCTTCCTCGTTTCCCTTCTCCCTCCAGCCCTCAGTTTCTGAGGTCTGGAGGGAGCAGAGAAACGAGGAAGAGGACGACCTCTGG